GATGTTGTTGTTGCGCAGGAAAGTCAATGAGTGGGAAGTTGGAGATACCCAATGTACGCCTGGCATGTGTGGCTGCCTGGAGCTGATGAGCCGCATGGTGACTTGTGACTCGTCCCAGCTGTTGATTTCCGCAATTTTCCTCATGCAGCAGTTTGTGGTATCATACTTTACAAAGAGACGAGTGCAACAACCGACGTTCCTGCATTTACTGTCGATGGCCTGCATGAACCAAAGCAGTTCCCATCATAGCCACAGATCGTGTTTTCAAGCACCGTGTGCATTGAATTGGACGGATTGCGGCTCAGCTTTGGAAGTGCCAGGTTTGGACCATGCGTCTGGAGCATGGGTGCTGACCTCGGTTCGCGAGATGACCACAACATTAGGAGGGGCTTGCCTAGTGGAGCACCTAGCTGTGAATGCAAGATAATTTAATTGAGATTGTGAGGGTTCACAGCAACACTGGAAGTAGAAAGTTCGGGCTTCCTGGAGTAAACTGATGCCGGCTCATTCCTGCACACAGGTGACATATGCGCAGCTGTTGCAACCTCGCCGGTCATTTGGCTTGGCAGCGGTGAGTGGATGCGGTTGAGTCTTTGTCAGACTCTTTGATGATCGACTTGGCATTCCCAAGTCTTCGGATGCTAAACTCAAACATGAATCATATTCCTCTGAGAATATATGCGCACTCGTGTGAGCCATGTGGCAAGAGCTATAGAGGTCTGATGATCTTGTTATCCCTCGCACGAAAGCCCGACTGCCAGATCTCAAAGACAGATCTCCAGTCCAAAGTTCCGAAGATGGCTTTCTTGCCGTTTGCCTTTCATACCCAAAGGCCAGCGCTAAGGAGCTCTTTGCGCTTGACGCCAAGACTGCGTCTTCCGGTGCCAGGATTGAGAGCCATGCTCTTCTGGGCATCGTTTTCCAATGGTTGGAGACGCAACTTGCTGTTGCCTCCAAAATAGCCCGAAGCACGGCGCGTACCGGACTTGATTTGCGTGAAGAGCACCCCCGCTTTCCAGTGTCTTTGCCAGCAGCTCTGTTGGGCTTGTGCATCATGAGCGCTTTCGTGGCAGCCATCCTGCTGAGCAGGCCCAACCTCAAGCTGAGTTCAGCATCAACTTAATAGCTTTCTTCTTATCAACCCGATCAAAGCTCCATCCCAGCAAAGGCTTCCCAGCCCCTGGCCATGTCGGCCAACGAAGTGCCGGTGATCGACCTCTCAAGCTTCCTAAAGTGTTATGAAGCCTTGCCGACAGACAGGCTGGGACACGGGGATCCCGGTTCTTCAAGGTTGAAAGCTGCATCAACATGGCACTTGCAGGCAGATCCAGTCTGGTTGGCATGTCCTCTAGCACTTTATGCCGGTGTTTCTTTGGTGTATTTGATATTGAGCGCTGACAGGCAGGGCTTAAACCAGAGAAGTTGCGTGTAATGAGTATCACATGCCGTTCACAGACTGTGGCCATGCGCATTCCGGTCCGTGAATGATGTGATGCGTGATAGGCGTAGCACTACAAAGGCAGAAGACCTACCACAGGCGCGGAGCTCGTAGACAGCTGATTGGCGCTCAGAAGGGTTTGCATTTTCGTCCTCGAAGTCAAACATGGGGTCCTGTTGCAGGCTCTTCACCTCTACGTTAGGTATGGTTGTTTATGGCAAAGGGATGCAAAGGGTCTAAGCATTGGGCACAACTAGTGAGAGAATTGCCATTCAAAACAAGTTTCTCCTGTGCACGCAGAAGGGCACAGAAGCACCGCGGAAGCACTTCTTCCTGGAAGGTTCGCGCAAGCACGTGTTTTAAGAAATGGGAATCTTCGCGGAATGTAGATCTAGGATTAATAAAACCCCCCTCCTTTCAAGGGCCTTGATATGGATCCCTATTATAACCCCCACTAAGGGGAGGGGGTTTATTCGTCATGGGTTTACATTAATTAGTCTTCGCGGCCTCGCGATGCCTCGCGGAAGCAGGCCACGAAATCCAGCTTTAACAGATTCGCGGAAGGGAGCCGTGGAAGGTGGAAGGAGCAATGCTACCAGATCCACTAAGCGGAATGCCTTCACGGAAAGTGGGGATAATTGTAGCAATGAGGTCATATACTGGTAGCAATGAAACCGTGGCTCACCCGGGCTACCCTAAAAGTCAGATTGCCATTCAAATTTTCCATCTTGCGGGAAGTGTAGTCGTAGACAAATCCAAACGAGACACTGAGACGCGAGGAGACGCTGGAACTAAGTTGCAGCGCACAATCGGATGTCGGTTGTCCGCCCCAATTCCCGTCGGGATTGCCAATGCAATTGAATCACCGGGTAGTTATCGCTCAGCAAAGTTCATTAGGGTGTGTGTGGTTACATGTGGCGGAGGGCATCATCTGCTCCAGTAGGGCATAACTTCGCACGATGCCACTGCTTCGGAAGGTCAGGCAACTAGCAACTTGCATCCTTGCGCCCTAAAGTTCCACAGGGCGGGAAGTCTTACCGCTGCCATGCGCTTGTTGCGACAAAAGATTGTCATGGATCACTTTGCATTTGCGTAGTGTAGGTTTTCTTTGAATATTTGAGTGCAACCGCCGGACTCAGGAGGCGCGGGTCGTCGTTCGCGCCTGGCGTGAGGCCTTTGCATTTGGATTAGCTTTCAATCAAGGCATAGGCAGTGAAAAGTTTAAGATCTTGAAGCTGAAGCCAAGAACAGACAAGCCTACTCATACTGAATCATGTAAGCTGAGTCCATCATGAACCAGACTACGAATCTGGAATTCGTCTAAAGAAGCTCTTCCAAGCCAAAGTCTCTTTATCTTACAGAGGCATTCGGTCGCTTCGGCTTCTGCCACGCAGCTGGGCACGGGGTGCCGGACTGAAGCTGAAGATCGTTGTCTGTTGGCGATGAGGCTTGCAGTCAAGTGGGTCAACTAGATCTGCGCATGACGGCAAAAGACAATCATCGCGTGTGCGTTTGAGGAGTTAACCAGGTGCCATCACGTCTGGAGATGAAGTGTTGGCGGTGTGCAGGATGCTAGTGTTACTATCTCGTGCCTCATGAGCCGGATGTGATTGCTACTGTGTTTACTGCTGGAGCCACAGCTGTATAATTTAGTGGTGGGCAGAAGCCAGCTGAGCTCATGCACTTCATCTACAACCCCTGTCGCATATCACGCCCAAAGATCGAAACCACTGTCGCGATTCCATCTTGTCCCGAGCTTGTGCATAGTGTAGTGCAGCAGGATGAAGTCATCGACGATGCCTATGCTTGCGCCCGAAAATTCTTTAGCCTGCCGATAGAGGAGAAGAGCCATGGATGCAAAACGATTATAGGGGTTCTATTGGGGTTATATAGGGATTATATATGGGTTACATTGGGATAATGGAAAAGAAAATGGAAACTATTATATTATAATAGGGTATTTGACATGCTCTTGTGCTTCCACGACCGCAACAGCTCCAAAGCCAGCTAGCTCCTCCGTTGGATATGTCCTGTCAGGTTCGAGATATTGGCGATTCGGGATTTACATAGCAGAATCTGGAGGTCACACCTCGGTAGCAAGAAGCCGCTAGGAAAACATTCGGACAAATCAGGGGTGAGAAGTAAACACAACAACTCAGCAACTCTGAATATTTTCTTTCAGACAAGGCAGCAAGGACAATGACAATATCCCAGTGCAGCCAAGATATATACCCTTTTATAATGGAGTAGTTTCCATTTTCGTTTTTCGTTATCCCAATTGCCCCTATATAATCCCTATAGAACCCCTATATAACCCCTATATAACCCCTATATAACCCCTATATAACCCAAATATAATCCCAATATAATCCCAACATAATCCCAACATGACCCCAATACAACCCCAACATGACCCCCAATAATTCCAAAAATAACCCCAGTATATCTGTTATGTGGTAGCCGTTTACAGAAAGGCCAGCTCAGACGACCAAGATCCAAAATCACGATGAAAGCTCTGACAGTGGTATATTGGGGTATATAGGGTTATATTTATTTGGATAATGGAAAAGAAAATGGAAACTACTATGACATATTGGGGTTATGTTGGGATAATGGAAAAGAAAATGGAGACCTCTGGCTGCAGATCTCAAGCCCAAACGCAAGATAGCAAATCACGAGACTTCATGCGAGCCCGCAAATCTCAGGAAGCTGTCTGACACTGGTCACGCATATGGCGACGCATGGCAAGCAACCAGTACTAGTGCATATTTTGCATCTCTGAGATGTGAACAGTTGTGGCGACTCCTTGTTGAAGTTCCATTTTCTGGGAAGGCGACCTGTTGAAGGGGATTTCAATTTCAATCAATTTCAAGAAATACGCGTTTGCACAATTCAGCACACTCAAGAGACACAGATTTCTATATGAGTAGATGAGTGTGTTTTGCCAACATGGTAAAGATTAATTGATTATTCTCTGCACGTGAATGCTTGGCGGCTTGATCAGCGGTTGTGGACGTTCTGGAGGTGCCAAATCAGTGCTTTTCCTTTCGGGGCTGGTGTGGTGCTTTAGACACTTGTCGGAGCGCACTCCTCAAAACTTTCTGCATCCCAGGTTGTTTCATGAATGTGGACTCTGTAATGCCTTCGCCTTGAAAAGGGACCTTTCCCTGCGCAACTCGTTTGGGCCCTGCCTGACGGTGCAGCTGGCATCCTAGAAACGCTTAAACTTACATCTGCATATGCACACGCACCGACTTTTCGACTCCAAAACTAAAACCCCCATTGCATCTGCCCAGAGCTCCTACGGCGGCTTCAAGGCACAGGCGGATCAGCATCAACATTTTTTTTTGATTTTGGTGGCTTTGTTACGTCCTTGTGTGTTCTGTTATGCTTCCGTCTACGTCAGATCAGTCTATTTTATTAGTCTATGTCTGCTGCCTTGGAGGGTTACCGCACGAGTTCTATCTTGTGCGCCCAGGTTTCACATCTTCATACTGATTCATGCCATATTGCGTTGTGTGAGGTTGATCTGCACCTTTTGGGGGTATCAGCTGGACCAAGGATGTGCCTAAAAGCGTTCTCTCTTCTGTCTACGCCACGTGCTTGTCTCCTTGCAGATCTGTTTATTTCCCGTGTCCAGGGTGCGGAGAGCGTCAGCAAAACGGAGACCACCGACCCTGGCAGCGAGGTCGGATTTGCGTGTTTCATGGTGTTTTTCATCCAGAGTGAGTACTAGTGGCATGCAGATCTTGAACACATTCTCATTGTAGGGACCCTTGGCACGTATTGTTTCTGCGGCGCACTTCAGGAAAGCAAATTGCACTTTTCCATAAGGTCAACAATGGACTATAGCTCGTATCGGAGTTGATTGAGAGCGCTGCTTGAAGGGTTGGCTACAGTAGTGTTGCCTGTTCTTGTCGCTGCAGGTGGCAGGCTCAAAGAAAGCCCGACCTTCTGACAGGGTGGAGTCTATGATCTACTTTGGCCACGGCAGTGATGCCCCCTGGATACGATTAGAACAGCTCTGAGCAAAGGAACCCCAGTATAAGTCGGTATGATCGAAGCTGTTGGCATGCGCTTGAATTGAGGTAATCCCAAAGGCCGTGCCGGAGTATGCTGAAGTCATGGAGCGCTACAGGAAAGACGCTCGCCAGCAGTCATTGGCAGGCATATTGCCGGCATCCTGAATGGACATGGCTTAAATTGCAGATTTCTGTGCCAGCATTCCCAGCTGACTCCAGCTTCAATACGCTAGGGACTTCACCATTTAGGCAAATTGAGAGAACAAACAACACAAATATCTTTGGCCATATACATGTTGATTCAGCCTCTTTGCTAGCCTTGCATGTTGGTCCCGCTGTGCCAGGAGGTCTTTCGCCTGCTGCTAGCCTCTATGGCTCTCACTGCAGCATCGCTGGATCTGCTGCTGGGAGTGCAAAGCCATCATTCCAGGGCCATTGCGTCAACTCTCATGGAGTTAAGCTGGCGGGGATTGGGAATACAGAGGATTCTGGTGACTGAGCCGAAGCAGCGCTGCACCAAGGCCGCTGGGGCACTTTGAGCCTTTCTTCACCGAGAAGAATCTCAGTGCGGCGCGGGGCACAGGGGTTGGCAGAGCAGGTGGCATACCGTTGTCTGTTGATGGGGATGCTGACATTTTCAAACTGCCGTTGCAGCTTGCGTTTCGCTGCTCTCTTCATCAGTGGGTCCAGTGGGAAGGTTGTACAAAGCAAGACAGGCATCACAGTCAAGATCATCCACAAGCTTACGGTTTCGGTCGTTCTTGTTTGAGTTTCTTGTTGTTGCGCTGTTGCACTGCTTATACCTTGATTCCGGGCAGAACGAGAACACCGTGCGCTTGGCATACTACCCGGCCTACAAGGAAGGGTGCCGCGGCTGCAGAAATTTGACGTCAAAGTCCACCGCGTCTGGCTTCTTATACTTGCTGGTGGTTAGCAGGAAATAAGGGGGAATTTATTACATAGGGGTATGGGGATGATATCTCCTTGTTTCGTAACCACCAGCAAGCATAGACTTACAGTCATCTTCCCCCTTTCCCCTCTTTTCAGCCTTTGCCTGTGCCTGGGCTCTAAGGGAAGAGCCACTCCCTGGACAGCTTCGATACGGCGAGCACACGGACTACACAGGCTTCTGCGCAGTTCCTCACACTTTAGTGCTGGCAGTTCTAGTTTCTTTCATGGCTGATGTATGATGACTCCAGACAAGTGCTCTTTGGAACGCTGCACATATAGCGCGCCTGACCGAGTTTGTCTGGGGCAGGCTTCACCTTCCTGTGGCAAGACCACAATGCGTCTGGCATTTGCCTCATCTCCAGGTTCACGTTATAAGTATGTACGTATGTACGTATGT